TATTTTTAAGAAATTATGATACAAACATAATCAAAGTAGGTAAAATGTCAAAAAACCTATAAAAAAAGGTAAAAAACCTCTATCTCCCATTGACGTACGTGTGTATTGTTCTATAAGAACTCGTCATGGTAGTACTTCAATACATCAATATATATAATCAAAACTATTGTTGCCTGTAAACAGCAATATAGACTTATAATTCTAATAAGTTTAAAACCATTAAGAAAAAATCCGTAAATGATAATATTTAATTCTAATGTAAATATATAAATAAATGTTATTATTATTACAATTTTATATACTCATAATAAAGACTCATAATACTTTCATTTCACAATTTTCATTATCCTTCTTACCTTAGTTTTGGATATCAAGATAAATCTGAAATTATAAAATTAATTATAGAATTTGTATTTTTATTGATTAATTAACACTCAAAAATTAGAAACTTCTTCTAATTAATCTAAAAAATAAAAAATCGTTAAAAAACGAATTAAGGCGGGCTCTTAATAAGCATATTAATTTTTTTCTTGACAACCGTTTGATGAACAAGAAAAACTCAAAAGATCAATTTTGTTGAAAAAGGATGGCCAGTCAAGAAAAAATAATTTTTCTTTAAAAAAGCAGTGGTGTACCATTTATGTTAAGCAAAAAAATCGATTGTAACTTTAAAAATAAAACCTTTGAATTCAAATATAAACATAAAAAATATTTACAGCAGAAAAGGCGAAGGCGCTGGGTTAAACGCAGTCTCTAGTAAAAACACGGAGGGGCGCTTTGACCCAAAATTTTACAATTAAGTTTCACATCTATCTTAATCTTTGAATAAGAAGACCAGGGCCAGTTAACTGAGATATACGACCTTGAACGATCTTTTTTTGGGGTAGTAATTTCCTGGGGCGCTAGATGGCGTATTTTTTATTTTAATTTTTTTAGTTGCCTAACAATTGCGTACAAAATTGTTTTTATAGTTGCCTAAATAGGCCTATTAATTATGTTCTGTCATTGTTCTGTATGTCAAATCAGTTTTCCGTTTCCGGCTTCCTCCTTCCTCTTCAGTCAGAGACAACTTCGAGACGTGAAAGTAAACGTAAATAATTTGTCCGCGAGAGAGACAGACTATTTCCTCTCTCTCCCTCAACTGCAAGGCAGGTGAAACCAGAGGGCGCGCGTGAGGTCGATACAGGCGTCTGCCCGCGAAATTCAAACTGCACTCCTTTTTATTCCGTACTTTAAATTATTTTATAGATCGCAGGCAAAATGAATGGAACACTACATTTTCGAAAAAAATTAGTAGTGTTCCATTCATTTCAACCACCGATCTTCCTGATAAGAATAAAAACTCCGAAGATTAATTTCAAAACTTATTTATTTTTTATAGTAAATAAAAACAAATATAATTGGAAACATCATGTACAGTGGAAACCAACAATATTTGGACTGGAATAAAAACACCTCTGTGTATAGCAAAACTGTTTAAATGAATAGACAAAAATTGTAAGCGATAAGAAAGTTACAAAAAGTTATAGTACCTATTTATATTTAAGTACAAGTACAAAGTATACACATTAAATACAATGTGTTTACTTTGCACATATTACCGTATGATTGAAAAAGAAAGAAAAAAAATGGTGTCCAATTGGCTTGGAAATGAACATCGATGACATTCCCCATATAATTTTAAATTTAACAAAAAAAATAGTGTTTTTATACAAGTCCATAAATAACAAGATTAATAATTCTCTGTGTTGTAATATACATAATATTGAATTACGAGGAACAAAATAAGAAAAATTTAAAAAATGGCAAAGTTTTAATAAACAGTTATAATTTACTTAACCAACCACACTCCATATTTACAAAAAAAATCTAGAGGGGGGCTAGTGTTGCAACCAGGGAAGAAAAAAAAAGATTAAAAAAATGAAGAACAAAACGTTTACATGAATTTCTCTATAAAGAAATTTGATAGACTTAGTGATCAACTCGTGTTTCCATAAATTACTTACATACCCGCAAATTTTTAAAAAAAAAATAAAAACTAACACACACTATTTGAACAACACAAAATGTTAACTAAACAAAACTAGAAAAAGTAATTTTAACTACATCACAAGCAAATAAAAATTAACAGCTGCAGTGCGATTCTGCAAACATATTTTCTTTCTAGTGACTCATCAATTGTATAAAAAAAGAATAGGCTAGACAGGAAATTTCTTGCTACAGAGCTTACAGAATCCCACTGCCGATCTTTATGGAAATATTTTAAAACCGGTTCAATATCCACACTTAATAGAACAAAATTAAAACACTAGTTCACCAATACACCACACTACTACATTTAAAGCTGAACG